ATCTGCACCTCCATAACTGTCTAGTTTGGCTCTGCAACCCAACAAGACAGACACAGACTTCAGAGGATAATCAGAACTCTAGAAAAACAATTACTACCAACCTGCCTTCCATTGAGGACCTGTATACTCTCTCAAAAAAAGAGCCGTGAAAATATCTACAGACCCCTCTCATCCTGGACATAAATTGTTTCAACACCTACCCTCAAAATGATGCTGCAGAGCACTGCACACCAAGACAACTAGACACAAGGACAGTTTTACACTTCATGCCATCACTCTGATAAACAAATAATTTCCTCAACATGTCAAATTATTCACTAAGGCTGCATTACTATTACTATTAGTCTCCTCATTGTTCCTATAACCAACCTCCTCCCACTTATGACTGCAGGACTGTAACTTTGTTACTTGTATCCTTATGATTTATATTGATATTGTTTCCTGCTTGTTTATTTGTACCCTATGATTATCATGAAGTGTTGTACCTTAGGATTTTTGACGAATGTATCTTGTCTTTTTATCTACACTGAGAGCATCTGCACCAAAGACAAAATCCTTGTGTGTCCAATTACACTTGGCCAATAAAGAATTCTATTCTGTTCTGTTCTTTTCTGTTCTGTTCTATTCTATTTTATTCTATTCTAAAATACTTCTGCACCCCTTGGAATATAAGAATGTGAAAATTTTGTTAACTTATTTTTTGAAAAAATTCAATATTTTAGTGAATGAGTATAAAGAAAAGAGGCAAAGGTGGAAAGAATAAAATAATATTCAAATAAAATAGGGATTATCATTTTCCAATAGATTATTAATTACTTATAAATGATAAAATGCATCACTTAAAATATTAAGAATCACTATTAACTTCAGGAATATATTTTAGAAATCCTAAACATTTTGATCAATACATTAAGTCAAACATTTGGTCCCACCAACTCTGGGGGGGATGGAGAAGGACACTGGAGGGTGGGGACCTGGAGATCTGTATTCCTAGATTAGGCAGGATAATGATAGCATTTCCTAAGGTAGCACAAAGAGAAAGACTTTGGTCTAGTGGTTAAGGC